AGTCGTAACAGTTTAGCGACGAGCCGGTTCGATTTCGGGACCATTTGCTCCTATCCAAGTTCTTCTGTGGTTTTTTTGGATCATTTACGCAAATGTTGGCTGCGGTAGTTATATCCCATAGATAATCAGAATCTATCACTTCTTCTCTGTCTTCATTTGTCTCTTCTCGACCACGACCCATCCATGTTAGAAATAGGGGTATGCTACCCGTAAATGAATTTCTAATCTATTTGATTTTACTCACATTGCTTAATTATCAGAGGCGCTATATGTCTACGCTAAAGTCATAACTTAAAAATAACTGAAGAAATTTGAAAATGAACAGAAATGAATGTTGGCTTTTTAATATCAAGTGTATATGGACATAACAATATTTCACATGAAATTGAAATTTTTGAGTTTTCAGTACATCAAGATTTTCCTGTTTCTTGTATATTTTGAAAACTCCGGTCCTCATATAGAGACAGAATATCTGAAATAGAAAAACTAAGCACCAAGTAAAGCAATTTATAATAAATACTAAGTTTTGATTAGAAGTTATTTATTGATTCTACTGTTGTAATTCTATTTATAGTCTCTCTTCTTTTTGACTTCTTGACTTCCACTGTTTCCTTAATTTGTTGCACCAAACTTCGTCCCGGTCTTCCCATTTATCTTTTTCCTTCTAAAACAGTATTGGTCAGTGAGCAACAAAATTCCATTTTAAAATTCCGATCTCATTTAGCTTTAATGCTGTAACAAAACTGTCAAAAGAAATATGTGGCAAACAGTAGGCCTCATTCGGACTAACTATAATTGTTAAAACGTTCTTGCCTTGCAAACGGTATCTGTTTCAAACTAAGAATAAATCAAATAACTCGCAAAATATCTGTTACCAACGTAGGTACATCATTACAGAGTTTATAAAAGAGGTCCATAAAATTTAGAACCTAGGCAATAAATCTCTCCGACATCGTTATTTTCCATTGTAAATTACTTTTACTTCTAAAACAAAATTGCTATTATGGAAGGTGAAGAAGTAATAGAAAACACGTTAAGCAATATTGAAGACATACATAATTTAAAAGAAAAAATTTTCTGTATTCGTCTTTCTGTTTTCTAATTTACCAAAACAGTGTTTGGTTTTCTCTGGACTGGTAGTTTTTTTAGGAAGTGGAAATAAAAACGGCGAACAAGACTGGGTATCTAAAGTTGCTTTATATTACGAAGGGATGATTTGTGATGGCGGACAACCTCTTAAAATTTCATTGCTGCTCATGGCACGTCTCGACAGTTATTTCTCGTTTAGAGCGACCGCTGTGGCTTCCGCTTGTGATTTATCCTTCAGAAAGATATAGATAATATAATAAAAAGGTGAAAANGGCAGAAACAGGAGTTAGAAGGGGTAGAGGTAGACCTAGATTGGATTACTGTTCGCAAATAGTTAAGGATGTGGGCTGTTCTAGTTATAGGGAAATGCGAAGATTAGCTCAGGATAGGAGAGAGTGGAAGTACGTGTCCAACCAGTCTTAGGACTGACGACCTTATGATGATGATGATTAATTATGGATTCCTTTTGTTTGTTTTAAGTTTATTTTATACAAAAGTTTAGGTCTTTTATTATTTATCGATTGAGACAGTACTGTCGGGTCAGCTAGTCTTTAATAAAACTAACCTATTAATTACCTATTCTTTTTATTTATGTGTTCTTTAGAAATCTAAGACAAAATAATTACAAATAACAGAAATTAGATGTTATTATGCAGAACTTGTAATACTCTTTATTCAAATAGGTAGGCATATTATAAAATCCCCTTTTGTAGACAGTCATATTGTACTTTAGAATTCACTTTCGCATTCCATTCCAAAAATTCTATTTTATTCTGCCCCATTACCCTTAATTATCTCCTTCTTCAATGATTGATCGTTGAAATTTATTGACCAAATCGATAACTAATGAGACGTAACCGAGGTTACTGTCTTGACCCACTGTTGATGTCTCCTCGAAAGATTTTCACTTAGGCTCGAATTAAATGGTCAGATAGTGATGAAAAATGCTCCAACGCATATCGTTACGTAACATCCATGCTGTAGATTAGATTTAGCCTACTTAAACCTTTTCATATGCGAGATTATGCAAAAGAAAGTTGTTGATACACGTTTTTATACAGAATGCAAACAGCAGACTCTTACTTCACTGTGGATTTTTTTTGTAATAAAACAACTTTTTAATTTTTTGCAACAATGCGGAAACCTGCCTATAATATGCCCTAATGATGTATGTCAATAGTATAATCGTAGTTATGTTTCGCAATTAATTTCAACTTCTTTAACAATTTTAAAAATAAAAAGTCACTTTTCGAAGAAATGGTCGATTTGAGGCTAGTTTGGACAAATTGGAATAACAATAATTCTTCTTCTCTCAAAAAAGATATCAATAAGAGGTACTATACATGGGGCAAAAGATTGATATGCAAAGATTTGTAGACGATATGGCAATATACAAGGAAAAGTTACCGATAACCTAAAATAGAAGCAGTTTTGACAAAATACTGATATGAAAATAAATAAAAGTAAAACAAAAATATTAGAAAGCAAGAAGAAGTAGTAGCTAATTTTTGGTATCTAGGAAGTCAGATAATTCAAGATGGAAAGAGAAATAGAAATATAAAACAAGGTATAGCGCAGGTTCTAGTCGCGCTTAACAAAAAGAAGCGAATTCTATGTTCGAAACAGTTAATTTAGAAATTCAAAAAAGATTGTTAAAGTTATGCCTGGAGCATGACTCTATATGGGTGCGAAAGATGAGAATACTGTGAATAGAGAAGATTAGAAATGAGAAAATATTAAAAAAAAATAGGATAACAGAAGACACTATGGAAGTCAATATGCAATAGGCGAGATAGATAGATTAGATTACTGTTCATAAGTATTTAAGGATGTGGGATGTTCTACTTTTAGGGAAATACGAAGATTAGCTTAGAATAGTGGTCTAACTAGGACTGGCGACCTATGGTGATGATGATGAAGAAGTAGCTTGCCTATTTTGTAAAAACCGATTCTATTAATTAACTTCTCAAAGATATTTTCATACTTATTAAAAATCTTTTTTTGTGGCAATAATCGTAAAAAATTGGAACTAGTTTCTCTTCAATGCGTGATATGTTAAAACAATTCTTTTAACTTGTAGCTACCCTTACAAAATTAACTTTTGTTGCTATAAATAGATTACCAGACGGCATCAAATTCTATATTTTTGGAGAAAGGTAACTTACATAATTTTTAATGTCACTATAGGCGTAATGGTCCAATGGACTGAAAGAATGTTAATGGGTTTCCAAAACAGTAAACAGCTCATTAAATCCAAATATTTTCGTATCTAATCAGTTAATGGGTACAAGTGACTTAGTCCCCCGTTAGATGATTCTTGTACTTATTGTCTTATTAATCTAAAGTAATAATACGATAATTGGTAACAATCTAATATCGATTTCATTATTATCATATACTATAATTATATGTTTACTTATATACTGTTTACCTTCAAACCAAACTAAAGTTTCAACATTTGTATTTATAATATTTATGTAATTTGTAAAACCAGTCACCAAACCGTTTAGCATGTCCTTGAAATCGCAGATTAATAATTGCATTAATAATAATACTAATTTAAATTGCGAAGTTACTACGTTATCCCGATGATGCCATTAATAGACGAAGATGATTCCATGATGTACATGTAAATTTCTATCTACGTTTTAATTTTATTTAGTCGAGTACACGAGTTTTTCTACCTAATTTACCTTTAGCTAATTTTTTCGACTGAAGGTACTGTTATTGTGGCCATTTATAAAAACCAGTTTAATAGCTAAACTGTTATATGAATTTAAAAATAAGTGCATGTAATAAAAATAACTTTATGTTAGAAATATTTGGGGGATCACTCATAAAAAAAAATAGAGCAATCGTTGAAGAAGTACACAATGTAACTACTACAAAGTAGATACTACTAGTTTCTATTTTAATTACGTGTACGTATTAATAGCAATTTTTAAAATAAAAGCTTGCATTGACATTAGGTTTGTAGCTGCTTTTCGAACTCTTCATTTGTGTAAAAAACATATCAGAGGTTTCTCCATAATATGTACCTAGTCATAGTCCCTAATCTTTATTTTTCAATTACGCAAAAATTACAATTTTCGATTATAATTGACTGAATTATTCATAGAAATAGGTGAATTTATTAGGTAACTTGTAATAAGCTCAATTTTGACATGTTTCATTAATAATTATTTCAAGTTTCTTAATTATTGCAATTAAATTTGTAATATCAACTAAAATATCTAGTAAATTTATTTCTGCTGGGATTTTATTTTTACAAATTCGGGTCCAAATTGTAATTAATTGTAAATCTCGCTTTAATATTTAAGTAAATTTTCGTTTTCCATTTTCTCCGTGTTGACACATAATCAACGACTACTGTACTTATTAGTATGCATATTTTTAACACCCTGTATACAAATCAGCAATATTCATGAGTATTACTACATTCTCAACCACACGTATTATGTAAATATGTTTGGGTGGAGATGTAGGAACTGCTGTCTGCCCCAATAGTTTGGTTTATGATTTAAAAACGATTATAACTACAATTTCAACTTTAGCAAACAAAAATTAATAAGTTACATCTATCTATCTACTAGATACAAGACCAAAAACAGCGTGCTCCTCGTGTTTATACGTAGACGTCATTGGTCATATTGTGTCTGATCCTTTCTGACACTGAAGTATGCAAGGGTATGGTACATTTTTGAATAAATTTTCGAAATAATCGAGCTTGATACTAAGTACTTTCTTGCAATGTTCAAGGATAACTAACTATTACTGCCCATAATAATACTATAGTTCTGTACAACGACGCGACGTCAGATCTTTAAGGTTTCTGTCTTGACCTATCATCGAAGTCTCCAAACGTTACATCTCTTTCGGATAAAAAGGCATATCAAATTAAGGCTACTTACCGATTTTTCTCAATGAATCAATGTTAAATTCCTTTTTTTCACTCACTAAAACTACTGTACAAACACAACACACGGTACGGACGCAATATTTGTTGCTGAAGGTGCGGTACGAAACGACTACATACCGTTAGACAGGAATGTGTAATTGAGGTATTTTAAAGCTGGTGGGGCTTCAGGTGAATACTGCAAGTATCTTACCTGGCCTCAAAACATCGCTATATGTAACCCAACGAACACGAAAATCCAGCACCCAAGCCCGTTGTACCCCCCGCCATCCTGACAGAAAATATTTATCTGAATTTCTTAAACTATCCAGAATGCTTTCTAATCGTACGAAGGAAAAAAATAAGTTTCCTGAAGTCGAGACTCCTCCTCTCAAATTCATCCTCCTCAAAGGTTCAAAGTTGATTGATTATTACGTTAAATCGATAATGAAAACAAAATTTCTTGCTTTCTTGGGGAAAACCCGCAATAAAAAAGATCATGATCATTTGATTTTGATGAAATGAATCCTGCAATATACATATTACTTTCCTAACGTATGGTTTCATTTTCATTAATTTTATTGGGACAAAACAGCAATAGCTACTGTTGATTCGTTCAAAGGAAACCAAACAAAAAACTAATGTTACTTAATGAATATCAATTGACGAAGAAATTGGTCGCATAAGTGATGATAATCATCATCATCAACATCGTCATAAGGTCGTCAGTCCTAAGATTGGTTGAATATGCACCTCCACTCTGTCTTATCCTTAGCTTATGTAATTCAATTTAGATCTACCTCCACTCCTCCAAACTCCTGCTTTGACTTTTAAGATGTATCTAACTATCCCTTCAAGCTTGAGAAGGTGTCCTACCAACCTATCTCGCCTATTTCTTATTGACTTCCATGGCGAGCTCTGTTTTCCTAATATTCTTCCTAACAGTGATGATAACCATCATCATCATCATGAGGTCGTCAGTCCTAAAACTGTTTGGACACGTAGGTACCTCCATTCTTTCTTACTCTGAGCTGATTTTCGCATTTCTCCAAAACTACGACAACGCACATCCTTAACTATTTGTAAACAGTAATCTAATCTAGGTTTATCACTACTCCTCTAACTATCCCTTCATAGCTGAGAAGGTGTCCTTCCAACCTATCTCGTTCATTTTCATATTGACTTCCTTAGTGACCTGCGTTTTCCTTTTGTTTCTAATAGTGATAATAATCCATCATCATCTTCATAAGGTCGTCAGCCTTAATGTTAGCTAAAAACACGCACCTCCAATCTATCTTATCCTTAGCTAAATTAATATAATCTGGGTCTACCTCCACTCCTCCAAACTCCAGCTTTTGGTTTTAAAATGTTTCTAACTATCCCTTCATGTCTGAGAAGGTTTCACACCAACCTATCTCACCAATTTCTGATTCACTTCCATAGTGAGCTCTGTTCTCCTATTCCTCCTAATAGTGATGATAACCATCATCATAAAGTCATAAGTCCTAAAAACTGTTTGGATACGCACCTGCATTCTTTCTTATCCTGAGTTAACCTTTGCATTTCTCCAAAACCAGAACAACCCACATCCTTAACTATTTATGCACAGTAATCTAATCTAGGTTTATCTTTACTACTCTAACTATCCCGTCATGCCTGAGAAGGTGTCCTAGCAACCGATCTCGCCTATTTCGTATTGAATTCCAAAGTGACCTCTGTTCTCCTATTCTTCCTAATACTGACGGTAACCATCATCATCATCATCATCATAAGATCGTCAGTCCTAAAAATGGAGCATCCCGCATCCTTAACTATTTGTGAACAGTCATTTAATCTAGGTTTATCTCTACTTCTCTAACTAGCCCTTCATACCTGAGAACCTATCAACCTATCTCGTCTATTTCTTATTGACTTTCATAGTGACCCCTGTTCTCCTATTCTATCTATTAGTGATGATAATTTAGAAACAAAAAATGGAATAGGTTCATTGTATTAGAATTAAATAAATACATAATACTATAGCTAAAACAGATGTTGACATTATTGGAGCTGGATGTTTAAGAAAAACGAAACGCATTGTTTATTAATTATTTTGTTTGCATTAAATGGAAATTACAATTTTTGTTACAAACTTATTTAAACTTTGTCAGTAATATGGTAATATGTCACTTAAGGATTATCCTTTCCTTTTTGAAAACCTCCGATATGAAACTTCCTTTTCAAACTTTTTTGATACAAATTTCTTTTCTTTTTCTGCCTTTCAAATCAATTCTCCGATTTTCCGAAGAAAATTTTCCTGCAAATTTTCTTTCTAGATTAAAACGAAAACTGTTTTTCATCTTAGTCCAACTTTGGAAAACAGGAAACACTTCAATTCTGTAGAGAGTGTTAAAAATCGGTAACTTAAACTGACAGCAAGCATCATAGATGGCACCTAAGTTGTTTTGTTTGAAAAATTAGCAACCAATTGAAACAGTTTTAATGCTTTTTATTTGAATTTTACTTGGAAAATAGTAAAAAAAGTGGACATAATGAAATTCAAAAAAGGCAAAATTGCAAATTAATTCCTAATACTGAACGAAGCTTTTTATGAGCTTTTTGTGTAAAACAATACCACATTAGGTTTATAATGAGTCAAGATTACTTAAAACAAAAAAAAAGGTGAAGTTACTAGTAGTAAAAGCGAAAAAACGGTACATTTGACAATTATTCTGTTAATTTTGAAAAATTCAACTTGAACAATGACTTTTCTAAAGCTCCATATGTCCATCCCAAAAGTACCTACTGCTGCTACTTATTTGAAAATCAAACCCAAAAATTTTTGAGGATTTTTAGTTATGAGTCATAACACTATTCCAATTGGTAAGAAGCTTTGTAATGAGCTTACTGGAGGCAGGGACATACCTTATATTTATACTTATCCTACATGTTTTTATCAATCCTGGCCTTTAATTTTTTCGTTCCTTTAATTTTAACAAGAAAAATCAAAAGCTTTGAAGAATTGAGCTTCCAATCAGTAGAACCTGACTATTCAGTCAGTTTGCAAAGCTTTTAACTATTGCTCATTAGAATGACAAAGGAAGTCGTTGCCAAGAAACAAATAGGCGTGGCGTAACATAGCGCTACCCACTTATCAAAGGACTTTTTGTAAGGTTAAGTGCATCGTAAATGCACATGACTGACTGCATTTAAATATGTATATGAATCCTGAATTGCGTTCGAAGAACAACCGACTTTACATGAATATCTGTTTGTTGTAAGGGCACTTAAACCTCTGTTTATCGTTTCTAATGGATAAATTATGTTTCATTAGAATAGGACCATTTCGAAGATTAACATTATTTTATTCAAAGTTGGCATAGCTGGTCGCCTGATGTTACCTACAATCCTGCCGATAAATTAATACACACAGATAATAAGTTAAATAGAATTTCATGCACTCATGTTTGTTTAGATCAAATATGTTTACTGATAAACTGATACTATAATTGGAAAGTGTGGTATAAGTGAATTAGATTGATAACAAGTTTTCTGAAAAATAAATTGGGTTGCTGTTGCGAACAATAAAAGTTGACGTTTCACGAAATTGAATCGATTACTCTTCATCAGGACCTTCATTATATTATCGATAACGAATCCGTGCGGTACAATTTAATGTAGGTACTTCTTTTTAATTAAAAACAGGAGAAACAAAAGTTTTTCATGTTTGTCTACATTCTACAAGTTCCTCTCCATTTCGAAATCCAAATCGACACCATCAAAAAACGATAAATGCTACATTTAGATCCCAAATTCATCAACAGAGCATGCCAATCTAATAATGTGCTTTCCACAAACTTTACTGTTTCGGTTTTAAATATCCTTTAGCAAATACTCCAAGATTTTTAAAGCATATGTTAGAAAATCCCCGATAGTGACAAAAGGAAAATGGGTGAAGCGAGCAGAAAATGCAAAATTTAGGTATCGGAAAGAGAAATAAATTTGTTGTCACCAATTCTGAAAATCAATTTTTTGGCTTCATTGTTTTTCAATTAAAGTTGTACTTGAGATGAGAAGCTCAATTTCTTTATTCTCCACGGCACTCCGTGGATAATACTTACTAGATTATAAATAGTTACAACTTTTAATACTTTTCAATGTTGAAGAGAAAAACCTTTTCGCATTCACGACAATAACTGTGGAATGATTAGAAGCAGGCTGCAACCTTTAGTAACTTCAGAAAGACTACTAAGTTGAAGAGCCCTTCTTCAAGGTAGTAATTGGTCTGAAAGTGTATCTGACACATCATCGTCATATTTCAAGCAAAACTTTTATACCAATTTTAGAAAATTCTTACAGTGGTTCACCACAAATGGGGGAAGGGGATCATAATGCCTAATGTAGATTTATAAAATATGAATCCTAAATATGTGCTGTGATACCTAATCATCTTAATGGTTGTTGGATACGGTCCAAATAATTTAATTGTATTGTTCAAATCTTCTATGACTCTTATTAAATCCTGAAATTGAAGCTCGCAGATAATAATTTGATGATGGTGCTATAACATCATCAACCAGCTGTCGTCAACATTAGCGTCAACCCAATATATCTTTATGATACTTATTGCAATAACCATCTTGTGATTAAAAGTGGATAGGTACTACTTATCCAAGATAGTTAGCCAAAATCTCCTGGGTACCTATTTGTGCCTACATAACCTATTAACCATTTCGAACACAAAAGAATTACGTTATGATGGCTCCGACTTTTCCTATACAACCAATGCCAAATACTTAATGAGTGATGATGCTTTCTAGACCCATTATCTTCAAATTAAGTCTTCTTCTCACTTCGTCCGTATTATTTCTTTCTACCGGAACATTATGACCCTAACCATATCCGTTAAAAAAGAAAAGTTGGCAGTACTGCTGAAGTTTGACATTTGCGGAGCTAACTTCAGAAATGATGTCATGAAACCTGCATTCGTCTACGTCCTAGTGCAACAGTGAAGTTAATTTCTATAAAAATAGTAAAGTATTCGAATCTGGTTATACTAACGTTAACATCCATCTGTTTTCCACACAATCTTGGTTACTTGGAATGTCTTCATACATTTATCATAATTGCTTGTGCTGATGACGTCCAACGATTTTTATTCTCTACGTGTATATTGTACATTGTCATA